CTCAGTCTTAAACTCACAGTATAAATAACAACAGTCTAAATGAATAATTAAAACACATTTATTCTGACAAACAACATAAATATAAATTAAATGCTACACTGGCCGTCCGTACGGACACCTTACACACTGTACAGGTTGCCGAACAATGCCCCTACTCAACAAGTTCACCCAGCACCGTACTCAGATGCATATAAACATAGTGTACATTGTTAGAGAACCCAATGAAAATATTTTTCTACGATTGGTTCTAATCCCAATGGGATTAGATAACCTTCGCTATCAATTATCTGTTATCAGTTATCAAATTTGATAAATCACGGAAATTATATTTTCAGAAAAAAAATTATTTATTTATTAAAATATTTAATAATTAATATCTAATAAAAATATAAAATAATAAATGCTGTTATGTATTATAAGACCCTTAAGGTATATATTTATCTACCAAATAAAAATACCAATTTTAAATTTAATATCAAATTTTTAATTCAAAATAAAATATTGTTTCAAATAAAATATGTTAGTTATGGCAACTAAAAATAAAAAATTATAGAAATAATTGTAAATCATATAATTATATAAACAAATAATATAACTTAACATTTTGTATAACTGTTCAGTCTGTAAAAAAAAAAAACCGTAAAAGACTTTATTCGCAAACAATTCGTTGGCCATTCGGTATAATGGATTGATAGTTCCAATGATTAAAATTTAACTCCCCAAATTAAGAAACCTAAATATTGATATCTTCCATAAATGATATGTTTGATCTAATGTTAACGGTATTCCCAATTTCTTCAACAATGTCATTTGTATATTTTTTTGAAATATCATTTTGTCAAACTTCAAATTCTAAATAAAAGTTAAAAGTTTAAAAGCATTAAAACGTCTTTTAGTGACGTAGCCAGGATTTTTAAATGGGAGAGGCTAATCACTTTTTTGGATAAGTAAGGTAAGAGAGGATATGATAATTCACCCTTAATCCCCCCACATCATCTACCACCAAGTTCTTAAATTTAATTCAAACATTTTAGTATAATTTTAAAAATATTTATTAATATATAATTTATAATAATAATAATAATAATAATTTTGGTTTCAGTGTTCAGTCACTTGCTCCACTCTAACAGCTGCATCCTCTTAGGCGAATTTCTGGCAAATTCAATTATTATTTCACTTTCATCGAATTGCTCTTTTTTATTTATATTAGCCATAGCTAACCTATTCAGTTTGTTTCCCGACATGGTGCTTTTTAAATAATTTTTTAAGCGATTAAGTGCAGAAAATGTTCTTTACGGAGTGGAAGAGGTAACTGGTAACGTGGCTAATAATTGTAAAAGTATTTTAATGTTAGGTAGAAGATTGGTAAAACGAGAAAATGAATCAACAGCAGAATTCGGTTTTGCAATAGTATTTTGACTCTATTGTTGTCTCCGTATGAACAGCTCAGCTTTGATTGTAGATGAGGTATCATCATCGAGATCTTGGACATATATATATAGCAGCTTTTATAATATTTTCATCGTCATACATATTTAAATTGGCCAGAATAAGTCGTTCAAGTGGCATATAACCAATAAGCCTTTGATTAAAACGAGCATCTATTGATTCTGTTAAATAGTCAAGAAAAAGAATAAAAGTAGAACATTTAAAATATATTTCTGGATTTTCAGAAATAAAGTTTTCTCTCTGAGTTTCCCTTTTACATACTCGTGGAATTTTTATTTCAATATTAACACTTTTTCCCCTGTTGACAACGTCATTAAATATTTGATAGTGACTCGCCACAACCTTGCATGATAACCATCAAAAAGATAGTGATGATCATGGTAAAAACTAGAAGTATTAGTAATCTGTAATATCTACACCAAAGACAAACGCCTGTTACTCGTTAATCGTCAAAATTTAGTTAATACCAATGGTTTAAAATACTTAAATTAATAGTAGTAGTATACTAGTTTACTACAATTATACACTATACATATAAACACGGCCTATGGGGGGGCTATAGCCCCCTTATCCCCCCCTCTTGAACACGCCACTGACGTCTTTAAAATAAATTCAAAATTCAGAAATTTGATAACTGATCATTTTCGTAATTTATAAAATTCAGATAATTGATAGCGAAGTCGTTATCTCATTGGGATTACAGCCATTCGTAGAATAGTATTTTCATTGGGTTCTCTAACAATGTATACAATGCTTATATGGTACCCGGATGGGACGACCGCTGCGCTAGCTGGTGGAGAGTTAACAGTGATACCGTTGTACTTACATTTAACTCACAATATCAAACAGGCATGTGCAATTGTTATTGTACAATACATTATTTACAAACGTGGCAAGAGTAGCTTGCAGCAGTGGAAACCTAATAGTTAGTACCATAGACATATAAACTAAGTTATTATAAATCTATAGTTAGCAGAGGCGTATTTTAGCCTTACTTCTAGGGGGGGGAGGAGGCGACTAAAATTTTTTTTTAATTTAGGCTCAAAATTTACAAGTAAAATTGTTGGTAATATTTAAATCAGGTGAATCCTTAATATTTCTGGTTTTTTTTTTTTTAATCTAACGCCTGATTCATTTAGAATCGACTTTTATGTAGGTAGTTCTTTTTTAACACCTGTCTGTGTTTTGAAAAGTTACGTTTGTGTTTTATTTGATTTTTCACTTAGTATGGACCCGAAAAAAAGCCCAATTCAATATTCACAGCCACGCGTAATTTGATTACGTAATAAAATGATCCACATTAAAAAAATTTGAAATGTGTAACTCACATATAATCAATTACTTAAATATGGATTCAGGGGGGGGCGATTGCCCCTTCTCCCCCCCCCCCCCTAAAATACGCCCATTATTGTTAGTACCTACATGAAATTAAACAAATGGAGAGCAAATAACAGATATTAACAAATTAACGGTCGTCAATCACTACAGTCGTATACTTAAATGACGGATAAATAATTATATGTATTCAGTATAAGGCGATCGATGCATCAACACAAAATTTGTACCGAAACTGTTTTGAGCTGTTAGCAGTTGGTACTTTTTTTTATTTTCATCACGTTCCTTATCACACTCCGGGAGAATTAGTTGGTACCCGTATTTATTCAGTATGCTGCGTTGCTCAGTGCTTGTTACTGTTGCGATTTCCGAGTGTTCATTACAATAATAATTTTAAAACAAAATATATATTTTAATTTGTATTATATCGTAGTAAACTATTCTATAATCTATACGATAATTTATAATAAAATGTTTAGTTTTAAATTTAGATATACGCAATCGAACGCTCCTATTGTATACGATGATTTTTCTCATCTTAAACGCGAAGAAGAGGAGACTAAAATTATTATTTTTGCCTTGTTATTGACCGCATTATATTTTTATATATTTCGTATGTAACAAGAGATATAGTTAACGTATTAAATGTGAATGATATTGAAAACTATTTGCAGAAAAGGATAGAAAAATTATGTTAACTATTTATTTTTTTATATGCTTTGTTATAAGCATTTAATAGATAATACTGTATATTTTGTTGATTATATATTTATATTTAAATTAATTTCGGTAGCTAGTTTGTAAGTGAAAAATTTTACTTTGAAAGTGTAACGATTGTTACCGACCACGTTACAAAAGCAACTTTTAATCTGTAAAGGTAAGAACTTCTAAGAAACATAAATATGTTAGTGTGGATAATCAATAGTTGAAGTTTGGGGGCAAAGCTTGCATGGGTCGCTGATATCATTAAAATTTAGCCCATCCAGAAGTATAAATAATTGTGCCTATGTAAAAAATGCGTTGATCAATTGCTCTAAATACCAATAAACCAAAATAATGATTTACAAAACGATGATTAAGATTTTTTTTTTGTATTTGCCTATAGTAATCTAACATAAAGATAAGCATTTGTTTTCACGGGTGAAGTCGGAAAATTTAGCTAGTATAGTATGAAAGCAATTTATTAGTAGTATTATGCATACAAATGTCCAAATACATATAAAATTGTATCTATAATGTATATTATATGTATCCTCATTTAATATGTAATCAACAAATGTAATATATATATATATGTACATTAAAATTGTAATTGTTGTAATTTGGAACTTGAGAAATATACTGTAGTGTTAGCATAAATTGTAATAAAATGTATTTTCCACATCAATACAATTATTTTCAGTATTATGAGTTAATGTCAGATAATAGTATTGATTGGACACAGTGGCAGGTTAGGGGGCAGGCTGAAAGGCTATAGCCTGGGGCGGCTTTTTTTTTTTATAGAATGAAGTGTTATTATTGACTTATTATATGTATTTATTTTAATATATTTTTTTTTATATTTTTCATATTAACACGAATAAAAATAATTTTAAAAAGTCATAATAATATATTAATATGTACATTGTATGATACGTACCTATAGGCTATAGTAAGAATATTGCAATTATTATTACAATTTAAAAATATTTCATTTGTAATAAAATAATTACAGTTAGTTACTAGTTATTATTAATAACTTATTAGTACCTGTGTACTTATTGGGAACATCCGACTATCCGAGTATAGGTATTTTTATATCTGGCTATTTATATTTCCGTTATGTGACTGTATAAGCATTGTTTATTTGTACTGGTAATAATGGTATCTGAAGTAAAACAATAGACATGAAATATTTTATTTTTAGAAGTTTTCTATATTAAAGATTTAATATTTAATATTTTTTTTTTGATAAAAAAACTGAATAAAATTTGAAGAGAATGGTTTAGATCAAATATTGTTGGTTCCTTAGTAGAGTGATAGGGGGGGGGCAGAGTGATTAAGCCTAGGGGCGCCAAAATGCTAAATTGATCACTGATAAAAATATAAATAGTATTATTTAATAACAGTCACATTTCATGAACAAAAAAATACTTAAAATTAAAATGTCATTGAAATATATTTAAATTCAATAGAATAATTGGGAACTTACAACTAAAATTAAATAAAACAATGACTAAAATAACACTTTTTAATTAATTTACTAATAACTTTTTGAACAATACAATATTTTCTTTTTTTAAATTAATGGGATCAACAAATGTATTTCCATCTTTCCAGCTGGGTATTATTTGATTCCAATTCCTATTATTAACGTTCAATTTGTTTAATAACTTATCAGCTAATACAGGCACAATGGGTTGCAAAGCCAATGCTGAAAGTCTTAAAGTTTCCAGAGTTACATGCAGTACACATACCAATTTTGGAACATCATGTTTAGCTAAGTGCCATGGCTTATTGTATTCAAAAAATCGATTGCAACAATGTAATGTGGCTATTATTTCATCTATACCTTTATAAAAGTTTAATTCTTCATAATGATTTCCAACAATATCAGAAAGGCCTTTAAGTTTTAGGTCTAAATCAATAAAATATGGATCAGTTGATAGGCTTTTAATAGATGCTGCATTTAGTTTTGGGTAACTAAGGTTTGGATTAATGGCTTTTCCACAACAACGATTTAATAGGTTACCCAATGTGTCTGCTAATTCAGCATTTAATATTCTTTTAATTTTCATGTCACTATAGTTACCATCACTGTGAGCAGTACCTTCTCTGAGTAAAAAGTATCTTAAACCAGACTCAGTATATTGATTACCAGCGTTTAATGGATCTATCACATTTCCTTTTGTTTTAGACATTTTTTCATCATTAACTTTCCAATGAGAATGTACAAAAATTTGTTTTGGCAATTGTAACCCAGCAGCCATTAAAAATACTGGCCAAAATATTCCATGAAATTTTAAAATATCTTTACCACATATTTGTACACTTGGAGGCCAACTATCTGTGTTATTTGGATAACCAGAAACTGTTAAGTAATTTACTAAAGCATCTAACCACACATATACTGTTTGCGCATCATCTTCAGGAACTGGAATACCCCAACTAACACGACTTTGAGGTCTTGACAGTGATATTTCATACAAATCATTAACTTCCCTGATCAATATTTCTTGAAATAATTTTGGTTTAATTCTGTCAGGTTTACTCAACCAATTTTGCAGATCATTTTTGAAAGGCCGTAAATCAAATTTATAATTTTCCTCTTCTGCCCATTCAACAGGTCGTCCTGATTCTTTACTAACACGTACATTGTTAACTACTTCTATTTGATCTTCAGACAAAAATGTCTCATCAGCTGTACAATACCAACCAGAATATTTTCCTTTTTTTATATGTGGTTTTATTTTATTCCAAAAGTGGCATACACACATTTTATGATTATCTGATGTTGTTCGAATAAATGATGTATAGCTGATATCAAATTTATTAAATGTGGTTTGATAACTACTAGAAATTTTTGTACAATAGTTATCTACAGACAGTTTACTAAGTTCGGCAGATTTTTGTACTTTTAACCCATGTTCATCAGTGCCAGTACTGAAAATAATATTTATGTTAGGGTTTAGTAGTTTTTGAAATCTGGCAGAAGCATCAGCAATTAAAGCACTGTAAAGATGTCCAATGTGAGGATCTGAAATCATTTACAAAGCAAATGTATAACTTTAACGTTAAGATATTTATTATTTAAATTTATATTTAATTAATAATAAATAAAATAATCTGTACACATGAAGCAATTATGTAAAATACAAATATATCAAATTATACTTTATCGTATAAGTATTTTTACTAATATAAATACCAGGAAATCTTATTCATAAATAAGTATTTACAACATAATATAGAAGTTTGATAAGTAAATAAACAATTCATTCTATGGAAATAAGAAATAATTTATCATTTAATATTTTTATACCCTCTTTATCAAGTTATTTTTCTCAATTAACTGTTTATCTACTTAACCAATAATCTTGAGAATATATTTAATAATTTATGTTAATGAAAACCAATCAGAAGCCGCTAAATGCCATTGCAATTGTTAAATGTTTAGTACTCAAATACATAAAGGTAACTTAAATAATATTAAAGTAAAAAAGCTATTTTTTTGGTTAATATTTCAATGCTAAAAACAAAAAAGCTTTTCCTAATTTAACAACACAATTATTCATAGTATATCATTTTCCCAATATGCTATATGCGGCTATATTATGAACACTTGGATTTAAATATCTAAAAAACGGTTACAATACTTAAAACTTTTTATGTATTTTTTGAATAACAAAATATAAATACTCACTAGCATTTACATAAAATATTGGAGTGGTAATAAAATATGAAGTCTTTTTGGTTGCATCTATTATACTCCTTCCTATTAGTGACATAATAATTTTAATTGACCAATAAATTAATTTTTAATACCATAAAACTTAAGAAATTTTAAGTTAGGTAAAGATATACAGCATATTTAACAGAAATACAAAACGAACATCAATAAATGCCCACTGCATCTTTAGGTGATTTGTTATTATTATCACAAGCCGGTCATTATCAATGACAAGACATTGCATATTACGTGATAGCAGTAGTGATTAAAATTAGTGTTCCGAGATATGGACAACGAGTCACGTTGAGGAAGAACAACACATTATACAATCGAGGATCTTGTTCAGTTCTAATATTTTGGAGAAACTGTTATTAATGGTTCTAGAGAAAAAATGGACTACCGAGAAGAACAACAGTACGAAATCGATGCATTGGACTCTATTTACTGTGGTGAAATGACAAGTAAGCGCATTAAAGACTATTTTTAAATTCTATTAACAACCATGTTATATATAATAACTAATATAATTTTTCTTGTATAAACGTACGTTTTTAGTTTTAGAAACCAGTCCTTATTACCAATTTCAAATACCAGTCAAATCGGATGAATTTGATAGCGATGAACATGACATTGGGCTTTCTTGCTGTTTAAAATTTGAGTATGTTGAAAAATATCCTGATGAACCACCTATTGTTGAAATTGAAGATGTTGTTGGCTTTGAAGGCGAAGAAGATGAGCTCAAAGAGCATTTAATGCATAAAGTAATATTGATTAATTGATAGATTCAACTGTTTATTTAATGTTTTTTAAAATAATTTTAGGCCCAAGAAAATGTTGGTATGGTAATGATATTTACTCTAGTATCAGCAGCACAAGATTGGGTGAATGGCCATTCGGATTTTGCAAAACAAAAAAAACTAGACGATGATGATAAAAGACGTGAAAAAGAAATGGAAGCTGAATTAGTTAATATTTGTATATATTATTATTAGGAAAATATGATTTAAAATACTATACATTACTTCCTATCAATTTGAAAACTGTCATTGCTAAATATGTACAATAACATTAATTCTTTTATAGAAACGATTTGAAGGTACTAAAGTTACAGTAGAAACATTTTTACGTTGGAAGTTCAATTTTGAAGAAGACATGGGAGTGTTAAAAAAACGAAATGAAGAAGAAAAAAATAAAAAGCTCACTGGCCGTGAATTATTTATGACTGATAAATCACTCAATGAATCAGATTTAAAATTCTTAGAAGAAGGTTAGTTATACATTTAAAATTAATTTATAAAAAGCATGTACAAATTAACTAATACCTTTTAGATCTTATGAACTATAAAGATCTGGTCTGATAATGATTAAATAGTTTAAATAATTTTTTCTTATAAAAATCATTACAAATTAAATATATCGTATTTTATTATTGTACGTAGACTTTAATAAATTATTTTTAAAATAAAATAATGTAGCTTAAAGTATTAATTATGCCAATTCAAAATTTGAGGTTTAACATTTTAACCTTATATTATCATGTTTTAAACAAAAGTTTTCATTTCAGTAGTGTTAGTACCTATATACTGTTTCATAATTATTATTTAGTATTAGGCAATGTAAAAAATAATATAATGATGCAGTTTTGTTTTAATTTTTTTTTTTTTTTATTTATTAAGATAGTAAATTAAAGAATACTCAGGTAAATATTCATACTTGTTTAATATGATATATCATAACATTGGTATACTTATTTATAGACTACCTTGTTCTGGTCAAATTTAATATTAATATGGATGATTTTAAATTTCATAATTTATGTAATCTAAAATGTTATACTATGTATAATTTTTAGTATATCATATTTATTTCTAGGAGATTTGGTGAAAGTTGATGAATCATTATTTGAAGAAGTAGCTGGACTGGATATTTGTGATGCTGATAGTTCTGATGAAAATTAAATATTTGGTATTTTCTGCATATTATGTGCAAAACTCAAATTGTAAAAACGCAATAGATTAATTAATTTTATCTTATTATTTAATTTTGTCAAATTATTTCAAAATCAGTATAGTAAAAATTCAAAACATAAATATATAAATTTGTTTTATAAAATAAGTTTTATGCAAATTTAATAATTGATTTAATTATACAAATAAAATAATGTATATTATTATTAATTCGTGTCAAAATGAATATAATTTTGAATGTTAAATATTACATTTTTAATTTGTAACAATTTAATAATCAACAAACAAGATTAATTTTGATTCAAGTAAGGTATACAACTTTTTAAATATTAAAATCTAAATTCAAAAAAAAAAAATGTAAAAGTTATTAATTCTTGAGATTGATTTAATTACTGTTTCATACACATAAAATTGTTACTAAAATGTTTACTTATTTTATTGATTTTCCCTGTATTTGTGTAAAACTGTATCACATGCTTTAGTTGGCTTAACATTTTTTGCTTTTTTAAGTTTATTGATGATAAAGTTACAAAGATATATCATTATTTAGATTTGATTACTAGGGTTACTAAAATAAATGTATCAAAGTATCACAATTTATACATAACAAAAATATTTTGTTTAATTTGTGAAAGTATAACTATTACAGTTTTTGAAAGAAATGGTAGATTTTATGGTAAAAAATATTGTGTAAATCATGAGTTCTCAACCTTTTGAGGTCCACGCCCCCTTTCAAACTATTTTATGAGTTCACACCTCCCCCTACTTCTATAAAATTGATGTGTAATCGTAATATTTTTTAATAGGTCACCAAAACTTGTTCTTATCGCGTCGAGTGTCGGTTTTTACCGAAACAATGCTTTTATCAGAACCCAAAATACTAAAGAGCATAAATATATGAATTGTATAATCTTATAAAATCTTAATAATCACTCGGTGTATATCTATTAATCGACTCCGGCGACGATCAAAACACAGGCAATGCATGGCGTAGAAAACGGCAACTTTTTCATTTTTCATGTTTTTTTTCAACATTTTCACGCCCCCCCCCCTCCTGAAATTTTGTCATGCCTCCCTAGGAGTGCGCGCCCCCCAGGTTGAGAACCCGTGGTCTAAATTGAATTATTTAATTATGTTATTGTGAATATTTTAAGTAATTTTAATAAACAAAAACAAATCATTTGTAGTAATATTCAAATCTGATGGAAAATTCAAATCCTTATTTTATTTTGTTATAATTTTATTTATTATTAGGTGCATGGGTAACATTCCATAATTCCAAGTGTCATTTTTCTTTGAACTGTTTCATCGTTTCACGTGCTTAATCTTAAATTTTAAAATATAGATGAAATAAAATATTTTGCTATGACTTAAATGATTAAGAGTAATTGTGAGAAAAAAATTTATTACTAAACAACTTTAAATTTTTCATTGGGTCAGTAAATAAATTTAAAGTAAATACTCGTTGGCGGTGTACTAACAAGGACTGTTTGACAAAAGTGTATACCAATAATCAAGCCTGGATTATGATAATTTGGGGCCCATAACCATAATCAAAATATTGATGATCCGTACATAAATATATTACAAAGACAAAAAAAATATTATATTAAAATTTATAAATTTCTTTCTTGCTTTTTTAAATATAAAAATAAAAATATTATTATAATAAATAATATTTTCTTTTTTTTTTGGAAGCAAATCCTTTAATTGTATCATTAGTAATAATTACCTCCAAAACATCACTATCTAAACACAAAACCATAAAACTATTTAAATTTTCTTGAGAATTGCTCGTTCTATCTATGTTTTTTTATATGAGTTAAAAAAAGCAATAAAAACCTACTATCCGCTAGAGGCCCACTGTTGCTTGATATCCGATGTAGGCCCGGGGCCATGGTAACTTAACATATTTATCATATCAATATCACTTATTTATTATATCAAATTATCAGATTATATTCTTTCTATTGCTGTTTTAAAATGAATCATCATATAATGATATGAAAAATAATTTTTTTTTTTTTTTTATATATATTTATTGTAAATTAAAATGTTTCAGCACACTGAGTGCTATTACAAGTTTGAGAGTCTTAAAATATAAACTAATTATAATTGTATAATGATGTTTACATGTTTATTTGTTATTTATAACCAGAGCCTCGGGACTTATAGCAATTAAAATCATTAAAATAAGCGCTTAAAAACATCATTATAAGCACTAAAATAAGAATTTAAAAAATTAAAAAACAAGCAAAAATATTTATTCAAAAAAAAAAAAAAACTTTATAAATTTAACTAAGAAATCAAACAAAATAAAAATAAATCTACACTTTCAAGACTTCATGGATTTTCTATGGGATTTTTCTGAAAAATAAAATGTTAACTTTTTTCTCTGTTCTTAATCATTCTGACAATTGACACTCAGTTCTATTTTCAACGTTGGAAAATCTTTGCTAACCAGACAACGATGCCTTGGACGGCGACGAACTACGTGATAACGTAGATAAGGTAAGAATTATTTTTAAATTTTAACTCTATTTTTTCTTTTTAAATAAAAATTTGTTTTTCAAAATAAGTAAATCCATTTTTCTAAATTTTGATCCGTCATATAAGTCCTTTTCTTAATCATAGTAATACAACCAACACTCAACATTCTCTTGTCAATCACCAATAATGATTATCATTTTCTACTGTAAGTAAATTAAAATGAATTTTGTCTTTCATATACATAATCAAATTTACATAAATAAAATATATATATTTGTATATTTTACTGGAAGAAAAAAATCACACAAAAATGATAGGTTATTGTGTGTGAAACAAAAAAATTTGCATCACGGAGAATTCTATTAATTCCGATGAATACTTATGTAACTTGGCATTTACGTAGCCCAAAATGCAAAAGCAGGATGCGGTGTTAATCAGGATATCTTCTGTGTCATCCAAAAATAAAATGAAGAATTGCTCGTATTCATCAACATCTAAAGTCGTAGGTACAATTTCATGGTCCGTATAGTCCTCGTAGTCGTCCTTGTAATCCTCAATGTCCGAGTTATACACGTTTAATATTAAATATTTGACCGGGGGACAATGATCGGTACACGACAACGAACGACTACGCTTACGGGTAGATAAACTAGTGGAGTTTACGTCATCGTAAATCGTCAGCGAGTTTGTAGTATTCCGTTTCCGAGATGTTCGTCCGACTCCTCGACTCTTACAAGTCTCCTCGATAATCAAATATTTGATCGGACGGTGGGGAGAGTATGACTTCGATCGACAACGACTACGTTTCTTTGATGTAAGACCGATAGGATTTTCGGAGCTATTACAAATCGATGATCGCCAACGTTCGACCGCCGAATTTTCCGTCCTAGGGCATTTAAACGGACGGCCCGAAGAACACGAATGTGATCGAGAACGCTTCATGGCGGATGTACGGGTCGATATTACTGATATTACTTCAAAAATGTTTCGTTTCGAAACCGTAAAGTCTCGTTTTTCGATTACCTGGCTCCAGTTTGGATATTCGTATATTATATACTTCACCGGGCGGATTGGGGAGGAACTATACGGCGAAAGACTACGCTTGAATGTGCATTTCGAATTCTCTCCGTTATTGTTGTAAAAGCTCAAAATCCGCGATGCACGTTTAGTTAACTGATTATTACTGGACTCGTGTACAATCAAATATTTGACCGGCCGGTGTGGAGAGGATGAGTGTGATCGACGACGACGTTTTGATGCACCTGTAGGATTTGACTGTTTATTTCTTTTAGAAATCGAATACCATCCACGTCCGACCACCGGATTTTCTGTTCCCGGGAACATAAAAGGACGGTCAGGTGAACTCACTGACCACCAACGAGGCGTAAGCATGGTATCCGTGGACGCATCGACCATGGTAGGCTTCCTAGCGGGGGGAGGGGTTTGTATGCCTTCGGAGCTGAAAACGACAGTATTCCTGGCTTTCTTCGTGACAGGGCCCCTGATCTCCTCATTCTTAGTCAGCAGACCGTCAAGTGCTTCGCTCATGGTGGATAAAAGTTCCACAAGGTGTGAAGTTGCGGAGCAGGACGCCTGTTCATTTTTCGCTTCACACAAAGCGGTTCTTAGGGTACTCCTTAAAAACAAAAGTGTGGATTCTGTCGGGTCGTTGGGGTTTGTATTAAGAGTTGAGAGAGACGTTTGGCGCTTCCTTTTCTTCCCAACAAACATCGAGGTGCATTGGAACGCCGGACTTGTTGCTGATGAAGCATTGCTCGATTGGCCGGCCGAACTACCGGTTTCCTCTATTTGGACAGTTAGAGGACTGTTGTTTAGTGTTTTCTTTAATGTATCCATAAAGTTCCCACGAGAGTCAAGGGAAGAGGGGGTCCACCGCACCAGAGCCCCGATTGGCGCGGTAAGGCATTCGCCACGTTGGGACCGTACGACAGACGACTTCCGGGACCAATTAATTAAAACCAGTTCCGGCCACTCTCTGCCAAGTAAGCCCCATTTACGGTCATGAGGGGTTGAGTGGGGGCCAATTTGCTGTTTGCAAGCGGGAAATGCCCATTCCTGCCGGATCCAACCAACCAAGGTAAGAACCGGGACTGCGGTGGTTTACAGTATCCTTCTGGGCCCGTTTGTGAAGTGCTCACAAGTGGTGCCTACTTTTCCGACCCCGACTAGTTAAAGTAAGGGCCGGTTCGATATAGCACCGGGGTGTTGGCCCCGGTGAAGCTTGTCCGCGACCGCTTATTCGCCCAATCCCGAAAGATTGGCTTATTTCACGGCTACCCTGCATATCTGCAGGGCGTTCCCCTATCCGCAACCTGGGGACGCGCCTGATAGCAGCTCACGCCACAGGAATTTAATATAGCCATCGGCAGCACCTACGCGGATACGGTGACGGAAATTTCAAGATCAAGTGGCCTCACTCCCTAAACCACCGGCTCCAGAGTGACGGGTACGAGAAAAACCATATTGAATCCATGGCACCAGGGAGGGACGATAATCACGGCTGACCGGAACGATTCTCCAGACCGGCTGGTCATTGATAAAGAGTCGGGAAGATTTCATACCATTAACGAGATTCTAGGCAAATGGGCGTACGCCGGGCCGGAA